GTGGCTATTTCTGAATTTGGCCTGGATACTGGCATTTGCAGTGGTTCTTTATACTGTTCAACTTGTGTGCGCGTGCACGTGCATGTGTGTGTGCATGCATGCGTGCCACTAACTCCAAAATCAAAATCCCTTGTGGAAATGGCCCATGAGACCTGTTCATGCTGTAGCTAACAGCATTGCTATGACAGAAACATTTTCAGTTTGTAGGCTGATAGTTTGTGTTTTCCAAAATCCAGAATATGGGAAGTGACTGACATACACCAGAAGGAATTTAAGTACTATGCAACCAGAATAATAACACAAATCCATTGTGAATTAATTAAGGGAGTATTTGTGTTAAAGCTCTGGAAACACTGGTGGTGCACCTGTTTGTCTCTTTCCCGTGCTAGATTCGTTAATTTTAATCTGTCAGGTCCCTGGTTTTTGATGCTCTCAACCATTCTTGTTTTAGATGTGACATGGATTTCACTTTGAACTAAACTATCTTTATTGGGTGTTAACTCAGTTGGTCTCAGTTTCAGAGTATTTGCTCTTAGGTCAAGCACTTAACCAAACTCCATTAGGATCAGCCACTACAGCACCTCATGGGCACAGGGTGGCAAATGACATCCAGAGTAGTATGCTTTGTCCACGAGTAGGAGGAGAGGCCCTTCGATAGTCACCAGTGCCATGCATCTTTTTAGGTAGGTAAGACAAAAGAGGACTCTTAACATTTTATGCAGAAGAGGAAATGGTTTGCCCTAGGGCACAGTTGTATATCTCTCCTATCACCCAGACTCTTTGTGGGCCATTAAGAGCATATTATGCAAGTTCTGTTACTGTTCGCTTATTATTCCCCCTAGCAGATGATCCTCTTTTCACAGCCACGAATTTATAATTTTGCCTAGTTGAGCTTAGAATCTTCGTATGACCTTAAAGCCGATTTTGCCAATATACCTAAAGAAAAGTAAGCACGGGGTCTAGATTCATGTGAACAAACTCACGTAAATATTGAAACCAAAGTGCTCATTTGGTGATTTTCCATGGGAGCATACCTAGGAAGCGTGTCAGAATATAATCTCACTGGCTAGTGTATTGGGGGATATTCGATGACACTGTGAACCCCGAGTTTGCACTGGCATTTATTTAATAAAACTCAGCTGAATCAGGAGGCTGAGTAGCATCTAGTTAACAAAAAGCAATCATAGAGCATAAGAGAGCGTCTCAAAGAGATAGAAAGGCGCACCAGAAGGAGTGGGAAGTGATTTGGAGTGGCGTGGGTTTTGTTTGTTTGTTTGGTGGAGGGGAAGAACACTTATTTTTTGGGAGATGCCAACAAGGAGAGAGGGTTAGCTAGTTGCTATTCAACCTGTCTGAGCTAGCAGGTTTTCACCCCAGCCTTTGAATCTCGAATTTTATTTATAAATAGAATGATAAGGTGTAGCGCGGATAATAAAAATTCAGAGACATATAGGGGTTAAATCTGAAGATCAGAGAAGCAGCCACTAGAGAGACCTTTTACCTCTACCAATGCTCAGATAGAAGGGGCGATTCTCAGGCTGCCTCAGACTTCACACTCCAGTGAGTTCCCATCTCTTCCCGTTTATATTCCTCTCTCTGACTAGCCATATTGCTCCTGTCTCCACCTCCCTACTGCTGGGATTAAAGGTGTGTGACTCCCAAACACTAGGATTAAAGGTGTGAACCATCATCACTTGGATCTGTTTCTGGGTCGCTCTGGTGTATCCCAGGGTAGCCTTGAACTCACAGAGATTCCAAGTGGCTCTGTCTCCTGAGTCCTGGGATTAAAGGTGTGTGCCACCAATCCCTGGGCTCTAGTGGCTTAGCTTTGCTCTCTGATCTCCAGGCAAACTTTATTTATTAAAATAAAAATATTACTACAATAGAGATCTGGTTAAAGCTACCTTTAGCAGCAGCGGCTGAACCAGTGGTTGTGAGAACAAAAATTCCTGCCAGGCTGCGGCCCAGCTACTGCTAGAGAAATGCGTTGCCAACTGTTGAGTGACAGTAGATTAAGGCATAGTCACTGTGCCAAAGACAAAACAACACTAGTGTAGTTGTTGCCCCCTAACTTCCTTTCTTTTCTCCCCTGGTCTCTCCCTGCTCCTATTTCTTTCTTCTCTCTCAAAGAAAAAAAATCTAGTTTATAAAAAAGGTTGCTGGAGAAGGAGAAAATAATTTCCAGAAAAGTTATCCTTGCCCAACATATCTCAAGAGCCTTGAGCAATACCAGAAGGACAGTAGGCACTTGAACATTTGGTGAATGAGTGGATGCTATGGGAGTTATTTGTCTGCTCTTAACTGTTACTGCCATTTAGATGAAATTGACAGACAGTCACCAGAGACATTGTACAATGGAAAAAAGGTGTCAGCTTTTTTTTTTACACAAATTAAGAGGCTGTATCTCTCATCTAGTACTAATTTTATTAAGTTTCAATGAGTAAGAAAAAGATGAAAGTAAAAAAGAAGTATATTTTATAGAAATAGGTTCTGCTAAATATGAAAGAAAACTCAAAAATAGTGCCTTTTAGTAGGTTTGATAGTTACTTCTCTTTCATGTAGAAATCTGGAGTTAGCTTAAGGATGTTACGGTGGCCCCTATCTAGGGAACCATATTCTTAAAATTCTGTTCTACGTTTTCAGCTTGTGACTTTCCTTTCCAGTCATTCCATGACCCATCAAATCTGTGTTGCAGGAAGAGACCAATAAAGGAGAAGAAATAGAAAAAAAAAGAATTTTAATTTCAAATGTTCTTTAATTTCAAATATCTTTAAGTACCCATCTTTCCCAGCACTCTGTATTGAAACCACATTTTTGTGGTATAGAAATTTGTTAAAAGATAAGCCTTTTTTTTGATAAAGAAATACAATTTCATTTTGGTCAATGCATCTAGCTGAAAATTCATGTTCCATTACTAAGACGAAGAAAGAACATAGATGTCTTGCTTGTCCTTCTCACGTGGTTAATTAGGAAGGCCAGTGTGGGTTAGCGTGTGTAAAGCATCAACATAATCAAAAAAGTATATCGTAATCAGATGTATTTACTGATCGAAGTTTCTGCTAGCTGAAACACTTGCTGTCATCATTTTCACTGTTATATCCTTTCGGTTACATGTTTATATTGATAACACCCACATAAAATTATTACTTGTCTTTTAGGTACTGTTTTTTTTTTCTTGAGACAAGATCTTACTATGTAGCTTAGAATGGCCTGCTGTCCTCCTGCCTCAGCACCTTGAGTGCTAAGATTATAGGCATGTGCCTTTGCACCCAGCTCAGATGGTGGGATCTTTAATTTAGAAAAAAAAAGTATTTATTTTTATTTTAGAAAAAAAGTATTTCATTTACATATTTTGTGCTCATGTATGTGTGTTTGTGTGTCTGTTAAGACTGAGGAAAACTTGTGGAAATCAGTTCTCTCCTGCTACCTTCCACCATGTAGGTTCAGAGGAGCAGACTCAGTCAGCATGGGCAGCAAGCACCTTTACCCATGGGCTATTTCACTGCTCCAGATGATGGGACCTTAAAAGCTCTGTACAGACATTATTTCAATTAAAGGCATATGCCACCCCCCACATATTTTCAATTATTTCAATTAAATTTCACAGTAATTCCTTAGATAAGTAGAAACAATTTATAAAAGAAAAAACTTTGGTCTCTGAAACCAGTCCAAGGTTATATAGAAGTGTATGACTCAAAGCCCAAGCCTACCTGAGCTTTGCATTCTCCCAACATTAGAAACAGAAAGTATTTATAATTCAACCATCTTGGCAAAATACACGTTTTGCTTATGGATTTCATATATCTAAGCATTTGATAGATTGTTGCAATTAAGTATGTACACATCAATTTACCCTTTGCTCTTTTAAATATGAAATATCATTAAGCACTTCCCATTTTCTTGTTTTCACAATTATTATTATTATTATTTGATGTTCGACCATTAAACCTTCCGTCTTGTTTTTCCTCTATCCACCTCTCTTTTTTGAGGCAGGGTCTTTCTTGTAGCCCATGCTGGTCTAAAACTTAATAGTCTATTTTGGGGTCAAAGCTATCTTCCTGTCTCAGCCTCCCAAGAGTAAAGTTTACTGATAACTGTTTTTTTCCTTTCAGGTAAGAGTTGTATTTTTTTTTAATCAACAACTGTTTCTTAAAAGAAATAAGCAGCCGGGCAGTGGTGGTGGCACATGCCTTTAATCCCAGCACTCGGGAGTCAGAGGCAGGTGGATCTCTGTGAGTTCGAGGTCAGCCTGTTCTACAGAGCGAGTTCCAGAACAGGCCCCCAAGCTACAGAGAAACCATCTCAGAAAACAACAAACAAACGAAAGAAAGAAAGAAAAGAAGAAATAAGCAAATACCCAAACACAAACCACATAAGTCATTTTGTTCTTTTTCCAAGTGCATTACGTCAGGACTCATGAGGTCAGATTGTTCCTCTTGCGAGGCTGCCACTTTAGTATTTTGCTCAATAAAGATGTTGCACAAACTTTCAGGTTGTGACACACGTTTTTTTGTGGATAATCACACTCGGAGAGACCAGGCAAGAAACAGACTGCGTATCACCATCTGATTGTGCATCAAGGATGTCTCTTTTGAGGAGGGGGGGAGCAGGGAGGACAGAGACGGAGCAGCGACTGGGAGACAGTGTCCCTTCCATTTATGCCCGCCCGCATTTCTTTTCCCAGAAAATCATCTCTGATGACCAGAGAACCCCTTTTCCCACGAATCCTGCAGGGTTTTTTTTTTTTTTTTAAAAAAACAGCGTGCGTGCGCCTGCGCAGTGTCCTAAGGAGGTTTCTTTTCAGCGCCCGACCGCTTTCTCCCTCAGTTCTCAGGCCTTGCTGGTTCCCGCTTTCCCTTGGGGTCATCACGGGGCGCCAAAAGCGCTCCCGCGGGAAGGCCGGGGGCGGGACGCGGCTCGGCGGGCGCTGAACGTCAGTGGCCTTCCGGGCGGAAGTCCACAGCCTCCCGAGCTGCTGATTGGCTTTGCTACTTGCGCCTATCTCGGCCCCCGCGCCAGTTTCGGGCTGCTTGGCGGGGAACCGGGAGATTGTCTGAGCATGGCGCCTGTCCACGGCGACGACGGCGACCTGGGCGCAAGCGGTGAGCGAGGAGCCCTTGCTCAGGGCATCTGGCTGGGAGTGTGGGGGGTAGCGGCATGGTTGAGGGGAGCGCGGTGGGGGGGGGGGGTCTCCGCTGTGGATTCTTCGGAAGGTGGCGCGCTTTCGGACCGCCCCTCGGGTCTGTTTGGCGGGTGACCTTAATCTTTCTGGGCGGAGACCCTAGGGCTTTGGGACAGGGCTTCCTCCTGGGGTCGGCGGCTGAAGGGCTTTTCGGGGGAGGGTCCCTTCTCGTGTGACAGGTTCCGCAGTTGGTGGCTCTTTTCATGTCCTTGGATGAGTCGCAAGCACGTGCGGGTTCCAACTTCCTGGCAAGCGGTGGCGGCGGTTTTTGCCCTCTCCGACCAAGGTGTCTGGCCGGGATGGAGCATGCGTGTGCCTCTGTTTCTAAGAAGTCCCAGCGAGCTCGGTAGCAGTGATATTGAGGACAGCATTGCGAGTGCTGTCACAGATGCATTTTGTCGCTACACGGTCAGGGCTTTTCAGGTCCTACAGGGAAATAAATGCTTCATGTGCTGCAGAGAAATAGTGTTCAGGTCTAGTCATTTTGGGCGAAGTTTGCAAAAAAAAAAATCATCTGTAGCGTTTTGGATGCCCTGGCTATCAGGCAGTTTGTGAGCAGCAATCTTTAATTTCCTGAAGTTATTTCCCAAAGTAGAACTCGCAAATGCAGACGGCCTTGCTTGATTTCTGATTCGCAGCGGCGTTCAACTGAAGTGTAACTGAACTTCAGTTCGAACTTCAAATCAGGTACTTTCTTAGCCCCACGTCACATGGCCTGTCACTCACCGTGCATCGCCATTAATGAGCTCTTGCTTCCTAATCACTTTTAAATCACAGGTTTCAGATTTTCTTAGCCTTTCCCATTTGTGAAGACACAATTGTTTTTGGAGAGTCGACTAGTCAGGATTACAAATGGAATGTGGGTGCGTGAACAGCTTTCAGCCCCCCCCCCCCATCAGTGATTTGTCTCAAGCCCATTCTTCACCCTAAAAAACTATACTCCATCTGTGAACATCAAGAAATCATGCTTTGGAGGATACTGTGCAATCTTGAGACCCCTCTTAAGTCATAGTGTTGATTAAGTATTTGCTGGGGGACTTGTGACTGGGATTTTTCCTTTAGAGCAGACCAGAAGGTTGTTATGTGAAAGACTGCTGTAGGTTACTGTCTCTGCCTGCTTTGGGGGAGGGTTGAGCTTCTCCAAGTGGTGGTTTGGAAACAATATTTGAATCTTTGTGTTGTTCCCCATTCTTATTCTTTTTTTACCAACTTGCTTACACGAAGCATTAGAGACATGGTTTTTTTTAAAAAGAGAACACAGTCTTTTTGTGTTGGAAGGTGGAGCACCTGGACAGCAGAAAGTACCAAGGTGTGTAATTAGCTGTTGTTGTACATAGAAAGCCACTGGGGACTTGAATGATAGAAAGTGTGGTATATTGGTTTGTTGAGCAAATATTTATTATGTAGGTACTCGGCATAGGCATTCTGCCAGGCTCTGGCATTAGCATGGTGGGTAGAATGGGTGTGGCTTCTGCCTTCATGGACTGGAGAAAGTAAACATTCATATGTAGTGCCACACTGAGTCTCCCCTGAGGAAACTGTTTGCTTTATTTTTGCTTTCTGAAGCTAGACCAAAGCATTCACTAGGTGTGATGTGTGGAGTGTTTGTGTATATGTGTTTGATTATCCTATAACTACATACATACATGCATGCACAGACACACACACAAACACACCCCCCCCAGACATTTACATGTGCACATTGAATTTCTCCTGTACTGCTAAGTACAAAATAAGATAGCCATACTTATTTAATTCTTACACCTTTATGTAAGAAATATTAAGCTTTATGGGGCAGATGTGTTTCCCCCTTTTCATGAGTGTGAAAGGGTCTTAAAAGATCTATAAGTAGCTTTTACTGTGTATGAAAAGAGATTGGGAGTTTAATGGTTTAAAAAAAGCCATATAGTCGTTCATTCAAGAAGCATTACAGCTACTGGAACCAACTCTAGTTACTTTAAATTGAAGAAATTTATTAGGTTGCTGTGTTATTTGCAGTGATCCTGTAGGACTGGAAAGCCAGTCTGGGGCTGCTTAGCCAGAAACAGTGATTACCATTGTGCTACAAAACTGGGCCAGAGAAGAGGTCATTGCAAACTATGGAAAGGTATCGGATGGTGAAATTTATACCTTGAGATATACTGGCCTCACATTTTCAGTTCTGTAGTAGTGATTTTTTGCAAACTTCCTTAATACATGTCTCCTTCCTTGGGACATTAGCCTTCAATTTAAAATCTGTCACTGGGAGAGACTATTTTATATGTTCATAGCATAGCTCCAAGGCGTCTGGGAAGGAAAACCTACTATAGCAGGTCAAAGGCTCTGTGAATCTTCAAGCCATAGGAGAGAATTTCTCAGTTTCAGATACTAGGCAGCTTAACAAGGTGAGCCTGTTATTGAGGCACATACCTACAGTTCTACCAGTTTGGAGGCTGGGGCTGGAGGATCTTCATTTAAGGACAGCCTGATTACCTAGCGAGACCCTGTCACAGAAAAAAAGTGAAATGTAATAAAACAAGACAGATGTTCATTGCTTAAGTGGCTTACTGGTGGTCGCATGTCACCCACTAAAAATGGCAGAACTGGGGCATCTGTTCTGTTATTTCTAGAATCTAGGCTCTAATTTCCCTACTTGCTGTGTATTCTTGCAAGGAAATTAGCTTCCACACTGGCTTTCTCTCAGTTTCTGGGAACAATTCATTTTCTTCTCTTTGTAATTTGGCTCAGGTCTCTTCCTCTGTTTCTGTCACGTTTTATTCTGTTTTGTGATGTTGAAATTTTCCACTTTTTAGGCTTGCTGGAGACCTCTCCTGTGAAACCTTCCTCAATTTCCTGAAGTTATGGTTCTCTCCATTTCCACTGCATTCTTACTTTTTCTATGGCACCATTTAGGTCCTTTTGTATTACTTGACTGTGAGAACCTTGGGGACAAGGAAGCTGTCTTATTTGTATTTTTATTTCAGACTTTGTGCAGTGGTATAGTGTTGACTATGGAGTAAATCTGTTTTAAGATCTAGAGAGTTTGGGGTGGATGTCAAAATCTTGAATTTAATACACTGAATTCATCCTTAATAGCTATGCCCAATAATCTCTGGACCTTTTTCATGTAGGCCTGCTCAAAATTTTTTTAAATTAGTTGAATGACACCCAAGATTTTGTGACTGTCATCAAGTATCTGCATTCTTTAATTTTCAATTAATACCGTTCTGAAAATATATTTAAAAGTCAAATGTGAATGTCAGACAATAGCCTGAGATGCTACAGAGATTCCATTTCCAGAAAGCTAGGGAGAAAACAAGATCTCTAATTATACTTTACCTTAAAGATACAGTTTTCAACAGTTTATAGCCAACATTGAATACATATTCTTTAGGTCTTATTTTACGATTCAGTCAGACACTTAGTCAAACAACTTAATGTCACAAATGTTCCAGCATGGATGTTTTTAGGATGCCTCTTATCAATGTCTTTTTTTCTGCCATTACTCTTTTTAGTAAATCAATCAGTATCAAATAAAATAAAGCCATTTTACAGACATATTTGGCAGTCATGCTGAGCCTAAACTCATGGCTGCCAGGCAGCACTGTTGATTTGATCATTTGTCATGTGTATAAAAGTCTTAATTCTGTGGATGAAGTGTGTGTGATTGTATGTGTATGTGTGTATGTATGTATTGGCCAGTTTGTGATGATCCAAAGCGTACATGGTCAAAAATTGAATGATTGAACACCAAGGTCTTTTGATATTTCACTAATTGTACAAAGGGCATTCCAACCATTGTAAATTTTTACTACAGTCCTATATTGTCATAATCTCTGAGTGCTCTTTTGAAATTCCTTCAGCCAGTTTGTTTCTCTGATATTCCAGGTGCTTTCTTTATACTTCCATCAGGGCATATGCTACTTAACATTGTTTTAGAGCCCCTCGCTACTCATCTTCCATGTTAGATTGTACATTTCTATGCATTTAGGAACTATATCTTTTTCATCTCTCATAGCATCTTGTACTTTGCAAAGAATAGGTGCTTTTTAACTCCTTTTGTTTTGACTAATGGAACACCAAGTAAATTATCCTTTACGACTCACTGAGTTGCTCATGGTCTGATGGAAATATTAAGTCTGATATCCATCTTTAATGTTTCTCTACATGATTTTGAGATTTTCCTCTTAGCAGAAGACTAGAACTAGTTAGTGTGCTGCTTAGTTTTAACACAAAGTAGGATCATTTGGGAAAAGGGAACCTCAGTTGAGAAAATGCCTCCATCAGGTTGGCCTGTAGGCAAAGTCCATGGAGGCCTTTTCTTGATTGATTACTGTGGGAGGGCCCAGCCCACTGTGGGAGGTGCCAACCCAGAGTAGGTGGTCCTGGGAGATATAGTTGATTGTGGTTTTGAGAGTAAATCAGCAGCATTCCTTTAATTTTTTTTCTGTTCCTGACTCAAGGTTCCTTCCCTGACTTAACATGAAATAAAAAAAAATAGACCTTTTCTTTCCGAAGTTGCTTGTGATTAGTGGCTTTATTATAATTACTACTACTATTATTTTGGGTTTTGAGACAGGGTATCACTGACCGCTAGCCCTAGCTGTCCTGGAACTCACTTTGTAGACCAGGCTGGCCTCAAACTCAGAGATCCACTTGCCCTTGCCTCTTGGGTGCTGGGATCAAAAGAGTGTGCCACCATGCCGGGCCTTGTAGTCAGTATTTTATCACAGCTACAGAGAAGTGAACAAGATAACTGGATTCAGCTGTTCTAACTGGAAATTGGAGGAAATTTTTGGAGAGTCACAGGATCTTCATATTTGACCATGAATGAGCTTTGTAAATTATTTTGCGTTCTAAACATACTCACTTGGTTATGATTGTCCAGAAACAATCCTTTGGTTTTGAGGGAATATGGTTGGTAATTTTATAACATCTCATAAAACTTGGCTTTTTTTCAGCTGTATCAGATTCAGCGAGTTTTGTAGCTTCTCGAGCTCGTCGAGAAAAAAAATCAAAGAAAGGACGCCAAGAAGCTTTAGAGAGACTGAAAAAGGCTAAAGCTGGTGAGAAGTATAAATATGAAGTAAGTAATGTTTTAATCCTGTCTTTCATTTCACAGCCTTCAGGCAGTCCTGTGTCACTTATACCTCTTTAGAAATATTAATATATTTAAAATATTTTTTCAGAGTAGGGAGGCCAAAGATAGAACCTAGGACCTCTTACATGCTGGGCAAGCATTCTACTACTGAGCTGTGTTCCTAGACCTTTTTTCACTTTGGGTTTTGAGATTGGAGTTCACTACATGGCTCATGGTGGTCTTGAACTTAAACCCTTTTTCCCCTTTTTTTTTGTTTTTGAGACAGTGTTACAGGGTTTCTCTGTGTAACAATCCTGGCCGTACTGGAACTCACTCTGTAGATGAGACTGGCCTCAAGCTCATAGTGATTTACCTGCCTCTACTTCCCAAGTGCTGGGACTAAACGCATGTGTTACTACTGCCTGACATTGAATTTGTAATCCTAATGCCATAGAGTTTTTCTAGTAAGTAGAATTATGGGCCTGTATCACTAGGTCTGGCTCATGTTTCTTATAACATAGTGGACATATGTGGGCATTAGGTAGATTTACAGATTATAAAGAGTACTAGACCCTTTAAAGTTGTTGTCTGGAGTTTTGCATGCCATTTTTAAAGTAAACGTAGTTACACCTGTGTTTTACTCTTATTTCACATACTGTGTATGTCCCTTAAGGGACATGAGAAGTGCTTTTAATTTTATTATATTAAGTTGTCTAGCTAAGCATTTTCTCAGAATTGTTCTTAAGCTCATTTGCTGGGGATCAGCATTGGAGATTTGGACCTTATTGTTGGTAAGATTGAATGGGATACTTTTGACTGTTTTGTTTTTTTAACCATTGTTTATAACCTGTAGGTCAAAATCAGAATGCATAACATTGTCTAGCCTCACCTTCCATACTCTTGAACATCTTAACTGCCAACAGTTGAGAAGAGATAAACAAATACTAGAAAATAATAGCAACTAATATATTTTCTGTGTTAACACATATTCGAAGTGCTTTTACCGATATGCTTTTCATTAAATCTTCTCAGTGATCATACAAAATAGATAGTATGATTAACAAACTTTTCAGGTGGGGTAACTGGGCACAGGAAGCTTAGTGAGAGCCTAGTTGAAGGGTCTTTATTTGAACCTAGGTGATCTGTCTTGGGAATATTCACATTTAACTCTGGCCTATATTGTATTGGGGTATTAGCCAAATAGAAAAGATTTTGCCATTTGACACCATTCAAGTTAAGTGAGGCTATGGTATCATAAAGAATTGCTAAAAGGGTTATGGTGAAGCAGGAGTAAATTTTTTTTGGCAGGGGAGGTTAGGCTTTTGAGACAGGATTTCTCTGTGTCGTTCTGGCTGTCCTGAAACTTGCTCTGTAGACCAGGCTGACTTTGAACTGAGAGTTCTTCCTGCTGCTGCTTCTTGAGTCCTGGGATTAAAGGTGGGTGCCACCACTGTCCTGTGAGTAAAGCATTTTTAAACGTAGGAATTTCTGTAAAGGAGTTCTCTGGGGTATTTCAGATGTTGGTGTTATGTGGCTGAGTCCCTTTATACATGTATCGTTCTAAAAAGAGTTCATGATGGGCAATAGCAGTGTGCTTTTTAAAGATAGTCTGCTGGACTCAGAATATGGCTCAGTGGTGGAGTACTTGCCTAACAAGAACAAAGCCTCGGGTTTTATCCTCAGTAATACACATGCAGAAGATAGAATGAGAAAGTTTCCTTGTGTCTTTTAAAGACATGTATTTTTATTTATGTATATGTGTGTTTCTGCCTTTGTGTTTGCACATGTGCCTGCAGGTACCCCTGGAGGCCAGAAGGTGTTGGATTTCTTGGAACTGGAGTTATAGGTGGTTCTAAACCATCTTATGTGGGTGCTAGGAACTAAAACTCAGACCCTCTTAAGCACTGATCCGTCTTTTTTAGTCCCATCTTGCTTGTTATTCCGTATAATGGAAATCTAGTTAGCTGTTAACCGTTAGGCTTTCAAGACTCTGTGTTCCAACTTTTTTCCTAAGATCTTAGCTTTTCTAGTATGTTTGGTATGTTTCCCCTTACAAAAAGACAGACTCCTAAGGAGGGGGCAGTTTTTTTTCAAGACATGGTTTCTTTGTGTAACAGTTTTGGCTGTCCTGAAACTCACTCTGTAGACCAGGCTGGCCTCAACTCACAGAGATCTGCCTGCCTCTGCCTCCCCAGTACTGGGATTACAGGCGTTGCCACCACCACCAAGCCAGGAGGAGGCAATTTTAAAAGAGGTTTGCCATATTCCCAGTCAGGCAGGTAGTGGCCTATCACCATGGGTAGCTGTAGTAGTGGTGTGCACCTGTGCTTTTATTGCTTTAACTGTGCAGAGGTGGTCTGATATTTTTATATTTGTGGGCTAGTATGATTTGAGAATTCACTACTTTCACTGGACTTCCCACTTAGATTCTCATTCACTTTCAAGGCCTGAAATCAGGGAGGATTATTGGTAGGACAAACAGATCATTCAAAAACCATTTCTTCTTTGCCTACAGAATATAGAGTGAATTTGTTTGCTCATTTTTGGAGGGCACGAATAAGGTATTTTATTTAGTTAATTGAACTGTTACTAAAATTAGTATCTTTGCAGGGCATTTACCAGTTAGTGTGAAAGGGTACACTATGCCTTATGCATTTAAGTATAGGAAAAAGTAGTCTAGAAATTATGTGAACAATCCCCAAAGCAGCTAATAAAGAATTGGCTATAATTCAGTTTGTTTTTTACGGAGTAGATGAGTAATTGATGGTGTGACAAGTGTATTATGCTAATGGAATCATTTAATATCTTATGTTAACACCCACCTAAAAGGAATACTAAGTTAATTGATGTCTATTTAAGGAAAACCCTGCAGTGGTGTTGAATGTCAGAACTCATGATTTGGTTGCAGCTACTCTATCAGCCTTCCATTCCAGTTTCAATTTGACAATTTCTTTTCATCAGAATTGTTTAACACTTTCACTCCATTTGAAGCTTTTCCATAAACTTTGTAATGGCAGGTTGAGGACCTCACAAGTGTTTATGAAGAAGTTGATGAAGAGCAGTATTCGAAACTGGTTCAGGCACGGCAGGATGATGACTGGATCGTGGATGATGGTATGTGGGAGGAAATTGCCTGCTAGGCACTGTGTTCGTTACTTCTTGATTGTCATGTGGGGCAGTTGCTGTGCCTGAGGAGATGTGGGGCAGTTTCATTAGTTATCTTTTTCTTTACTATGATAAAATACTTGATGAAAACAACTTAAGGAAGGTAAGGTTCATTTAGGTCACAGTTTGAGGCTATAGTCCATCGTTCTTGGGAAGGCATGGTGGCAGAAGTGACATTGTACCTGCAGTCATGAAGGAGAGGGGGCAATGCTTTGTGTTCTGTTTGCTTCCTTCTGTTTAAGTCCAGGGTCTCTATGGAATGGTGCTGCCCACACTTGATGGGTCTGCCCACCTTAGTTAACCTTAATCTAGATAAGCTCCCACAGGCATGCTCAGAGGCTTAGCTGCTAGGTGCTTCTGTAGCATGTCAGTTTGGCTGACAGTCAATATATGCTGTCACAGCATTGCTACATATTTTTTGTTTAGATTTTCCATAGTGCTTTGAAAATGAGGAAGCATGAAAATAGGAAGTCTACTTAAGAGCCATTTAGAAAATAATAGGAACATACCGAAGAATCCCCCCCACCCCCCAGGACATGACTGACCATGTAGGAATTGAGAGGGAATGCTTGGGTCACTGGGTTCAATCATCAGTGTCTTCCTTTACAAAAAGGAATAATGAAGAACTACCAATCTGTGGATCCAACACACGGCCCCATAGCCCGTGGAATTAAGGTATACACTTTCCATCTAGTCTTGGGTAAGTCAGTTAATATCACCTAAGCCACAAGTTTTCTGACTGTGGTATAGAGATAAGAGACTATCTTCTAGAGTTGCTGTGAAGAATACAGCAGGTTGTAGGTATAATTTGAGCCACAGAAAGTATCTTGAAGAGTGGTCTTTTTGTTTTTGTATAAAGGTCACTGGTTCCTGCTTATAGGTTCTAGGTTCTGATTTCCTTCCTTCCTTCCTTCCTTCCTTCCTTCCTTCCTTCCTTCCTTCCTTCCTTCCTTCCTTCCTTCCTTCCTTCCTGCCTCCCTCCCTCCCTCCCTCCCTCCCTCCCTCCCTCCCTCCCTCCCTCCCTCCCTTTCTTTTTTTTCTCTTTTCTTTTCTTTTTTGGAAACAGGGTTTCTCTATGTATCTCTGGCTGTCTTGGAACTAGCCATGTAGAGAAGGCTGTCCTCAGACTCACAGAAATCCACCTGCTTCTGCTTCCCGAGTGCTGGAATTAAAGGTGGCATCACCACTGCCTGGCGTAGGTTCTGATTTTCTGGCATGAGAATATTGATCAGAGGAAAGAGATGAAGACTATATTCATGACTCCTATTTCTGTAATTGGTCAACTACGTGACTAGTCTTCCCATGGAAATTAGGGTGCTTTTCAGGGCTTGTGATACTTCCTTTTCTTTCATAGAACAAAATGACTATAAAGCAGCCTTATTTTGGTCCTGTGTGTCAGATCGTTTCTTTAGCTCACCTAGCTAGATATGCTATGTATCTTTAGGGTTTGACTTTGTATCTGCTGTGTGGATGCTACTATATCTTTTCTAATACCCATTCGAACAGAATTCTACCAAACAAATTGGAACATACCAGAAAAAGTGAGTAAGTAAGTGTTTGGGTTTTAATTTTTTGAGCCATGAATAAAATATTATTGTTCACTTTTTATTTTTTGTTACTTTGAGGCAGGCTTTCATTCTGTAGCCCTGGTTGGCCTTCAGCTCGTTTTGTAACTCCAGCTGGCCTCAAACTTGCAGTCTCCCTGCCTTAGCTCCCTAAGTGCCGAGATTACAGAGATGCACCACATGCCCAGCTTTGGACCACTTTTAGAAATTAATTTCAAAATTAAATTTTATTCTTTCAGATGGTATAGGCTATGTGGAAGATGGCCGAGAAATTTTTGATGATGACCTTGAGGATGATGCACTTAACACCTCTGGGAAAGGTACCTATGTTCTGTTTTGAAAGATGTCATTTTGAGATTTGAAGAATTGTCTAAAATTTGGAGTGAGTTGGTATTCTGATACAGTCTGGCTTTGAGAGTATGTTCTAATAGAGCAACAGTTGGGTAGAAAAATTACATGTAAGAAGCAAAAATTCTAGGAGGAAATAAACGTATTATATTCTCATTATCCAAATACTTTGATGTTTTTCTTATTTTAAGATTTTTAGTTCTTTAGTAATTTTTGAATTGTAGATTTTAAAGGATGCAACAATAAGTAATGTCTTTTAATTCCTATTGAAGTGATGTATTTAGAATATTTGCTCTTTAATATAGTATAGTTTCTTAGAAAAAAGGGTTTATATACCAAGGTAATTATGAAGGCAACCCAACACAAAACTGTAAACTCCCTTAAAACATGATGCATTTGTTGTAGTTAACTTGTAAAGTGTGATGTTAATCAGTGGTGAATTTAGTAGATAAAAACTTCAAGTAGATGATAATATGTTGCCATATCAAAAGGATGTATGAGTCTGTTGGGGAATCAACTTGCTTTAGTTGAAATTTTAAATGATCCTCATTTTTGATTAACATTTTATACATTTGCTTCCTTTCCCTTTTCCTAATCACATATACAAAGACTTTTGTGGTGAGTTTTTTAAACTTCAGCAGTGGCTTTCCAAGAGTAAGGATGCTTGTCTGTTTAACCATAGCACCATTTTCATGGTATTATCTAATATGATGTCTATAGGAAAAATTTCTAATTAGCTCAAAAATATTTTTATAATTAAAAAAATTTATTGACATTTATTTGTGTGTGTGTGTGTATGAGAGAGAGAGAGAGAGAGAGAGAGAGAGAGAGAGAGAGAGAGAGAGAGAGAGAGAGAGAAAGGGACAGAGGGAGGGGGCATATACATGCACTGGTATGTCTGTACCACAGTGTCCATTTGAAGATCAAAGGACGTTTTGGGAATTGGTTCTTTCCCTCCACCTTGCTTGGAGGCAGCATCTCAATCTGTTGATTTCCTGCTATGACTTCCAGGTTAGCTGAACCCCATCCTAGCTGATTTTTCTACCATAGCTTCTCATTTGACTGTAGGAGTGCTAGAATTATAGAGGAGTGCTACAATTACAGATGCATGCTACCCTATCCCAGATATTTTAAACCTGGGTTCTGGGAACTGAACTCAGGGTGTCAGGCTTGCTCAGCAAGTGCTCACACCTGATGAGCCATCTCCTTGGCTCCTGAAGGCGTAAGTCATAAACAATGCCACACCAGTTTGGGGTTATGATTATTAGGGTGGTATTTATTTAAAGGGGAAAAAACTTGCAGATCACTGTCCCAGGCAACAGCCCTCTACGCAACCAGGAAAGGAGTCTAGTCGCCCGCGGAGCAGGAAGTGAACAGAGAGAGGAGAGGGAAGTGGCCGCTTTTTTAAAGGGAGAGAAACCTCGCCCCAATGGGCTGTTACCTCAGCGGTGATAGGCTGGAGGAGTGGGAGGACCTCCCGCAACAGGCTCCCCTAATTTTTAAAAGTTTTTTCAAGACAGGGTTTCTCTGTGTAACAGTTCTAGCTGTCCTGGAACTCAATTTGTACATAAGGCTGGCCTCGAACTCACAGAGATCTGCCTGCCTCTGCCTCCCAAGTGCTGGGATTAAAAGTGTACGCCACCACCGCCCTGCCTGATTGTTTCTTTGTTCTTAAGTTCAGGTTAGATATTTTGGCAACAGTAAAGAAATACTTGAGAGTAAATGTGACAACACCTATAGCAGTAGAGACCTTCCCTTTGATCAGATATCATTTGCTCCATTATTACTGCTAAGTTTGATTTCTTGGTTAAACTGATAATGTCAGATTACTTACAAAACTTTCTCCCTTTTGTAGTCATGCAGGTACTGGATGATTTTAAGCCATATATATTGTATATAGTCTATTTCCTCACAAAACTTCACCAAATGCTTTGAGTAGCTATTGGTGATTCTCTCTATTTTTAAATTATTTATTTAATTGCTTTTTGAGATAAGCTCTTGTTTGCCATGTTACTCTGGCTATCAAACTCTTGAACTCTAGTGATCCTTTTGCCTAAGCCTCATGTGTTCATTAAGCATTTTGGGTATCACTGCACCCTGCTTCTCTGTTCTTTTATTTTATGACTTTGAAATTGGACATTTCTAAGAAATATACTATTAAAGTTCAGTATCCATTAGTTTCCTTTTGTGTGTGTTTGCTGTTGAGCTTAAGTATGAGTGAGTATGCCGGTGGTCAGAGAAAGACCCTGGGGTATCTTCCCTTTTTACCCTTCATCTAATTCTTTTAGACAGGGTCTGAAGTCTGCTGTTTTTGGCCATGCTGGCTGTCCAGTGAACTCTCTGAATCTATTCATTTTCCTATCAGCACTGGGGTTATAGGCATGAAAGGCTATACCTGGTTATTATGAGTGTGCTGGAGATTTGAACTTGGGTCATCTTGCTTTCATAGCAAGTGGTCTTTCATTTTTCCTTTTGAGGTTCACATTTTAACGGAGTCCTTTTAATCATCATTTTGACAGGGTCCTGCTAGTCTTTGAGCACCCAGCTTTTAGAGCAAAGATGATTTTTCAGTCCCTATCTTGTATACTTCTGTCATAAACCTGGAATTGACTGTTTCTCCCTAGAATCTTGATTCTTTTTAAGTGGGGATTGTATTCAAATCTGGGCAATGGATGTACTAATTGCTACTGAGGTAAAGAGGTTATGCTTGAATTATGGCAGTGTTGTTAATTGTATCATTTTGACCTGATCTTATCACGTCTAAATTTTAATTTTGCCAGCTGTGTAGTAGGAAGTTGGAATGGACAGGAAGTATCTCAGAGAAAGGACCTATGTCCCAGTTGTCCCAGTTTTGATCACTGTAGCCAGTACAAAGAAAGTACACAGTATTTCTTGAGTTGAAGGAGTTATCATTGTGTTTCCGTGATTGTATTATTCTTTCTTCTTGATTAGATATCAGTGAAAAGAAGTTTTGAGATTCTAGAAAACAGTCTTAGAAATTTTTACTTCTTGTTTTGTGCCACCATATACCTACAGCTCATCAGTATTACAGTATCCTTTGCCAGAAGCCTGGTAAGATCAGAAGAGCTTAGGAAGGGAAACAGGATCCAACAATTTACTTTAAAATTTACAGAAAAGTCACAGAATTTTGCCTAGAAGTAAAAGGTCAACTGTATTTGAAATCACCTCATCATGTATTGACTGCACACCATAGCGGTAGAAAAGTATATCAACTACGTCGCAGTGAAGAGAAATCAATGAGAAAGCACAGTAAAATCAAGCTAGCACTAAAGAACTCCACGTCAATATTTACTTATACTTTTTTCCCCTGTATTTCTGAATAAATCCTACTAACCTACAGTGGTGAGATTAAAGCCTTCTCATGAAGTCTTTTTTGTTTGTTTCAAACTTCTATTGACCTCTCTGTACTCACTCTTAAAGCCCGAGTTTTGTTTATTGGCATTTAAACATTGTTCCAAATGATGTCAATGAAAATCTAAAGACCTTTGTATAATTCTCTTGTATTAAAGTTTCACAAATATCCTACAGTTTTCACAGTCCAGGCATATAAAAAATATATTATTCATGACTTTTAGTAAATTTGTAATGTATGCAGCCATTTCCACTATCTGATTCCAGAGTAGCTTCACGTTAGATGCATGCCCAATTCTCATTAAGAAGTTACCCCCCTATATTCCTTCAGTGCTTGGCAGCTATTGATGTACTTTATGTCTCTGGGTTTGCTTATTCTATTAGGGCATTTCATATAAATGGAATTATAAAATAATTGACCTTTTGGGTCTGGCTTCTTTGACAGCATAATATTGCTAATTTATTTCATTCATGTTCTAGCATGTGCTAGTACTTTATTTCTTTTTATAAATGAATAATATACTATTATGTGATATATATGTGTATATATATATATATTACATATTGTTTATATCTTCATTAGTTGATGGGCATCTGTGTTTTTTCTATCTTTTGTTTATTGTCCTTATTGCACTCTGGACATTGTGTTCAACTTTTTGCTTGAGTACTTTTTGTTTGGAAGGCTATATACCAAGAATTTTGTGTATTGTTTTGATTTATTTTTGTTACATAAAAGATAATGTCTACATAGTTACTTTCCATGTTTTATTTCACATAGCAAGGTACCCTGAAAATCACTCTAGTGACATATGTAGAGTATGTAGAAATCTTTCCTTCATGTTTATGTGTCTGTAGCTGCAAAGCAGCATGCAGATGCTTCTTGGTGTAAGTATTCACTACTTTCAATGAACTCCTTGGAAGGACTCAATAATTTGTTATTATAAATAGTACCATGTCTGGTAACTCTGTGCCTTCCTCCTGGAAAATTCCTAGAAATGAAGTTGCTGGCTTATAGAGTAAGTGTACATGAAAACTTTTTAAAATTATCTTAAAAGTTTTTAAAAAAGATTTATTTATTTTAAGTGTATATGAGTATTTTACTTGCATGTATGAATGTGTACTACTTGTGTGCATGATGCCCATGGAAGTCAGAAGCAGGCATCACATCCCCTGGAACTTTTAACTAGAGTTATGGATGGTTGTGAGCCACTGTGTGGAAGCTGGGAACTGAACTTTCAAGAGCAACAAGTGTTCTTAACTTCTAAACCATCTTTCTAGCCCCTATCTATTTTTAATGTTTGTTCATGTTTTGTTTATATGTATGTCTGCACCAAATGCATGCCTGGTGCCCATAGTGGCCAGAAGGGATCATAGGATCCCCCAGAACTAGAGTTTTACAGGTGGTTGTGGTCATGTAGATGCTGGGAATTTAATTTGGGTCCTTTGGAAGAATAGCAGTGCCCTTAACCCATCTCTCTCTATTTTTAGGCTTATTATTATTGCATGTTCATCATGTTCTACCTGTACAAATGTATGAGGGTGTCAGAAGCCCTGGAACTGGAATTAGACAGGTGTGAGCTGCCACTTAGGGGCTCATTACATAGCACAGGTTATTTTTGAACTCAAGCTCTTTCAGTTTCAGCTTGAGTTCTCCTGACCCAGGTTATTGAATGCTAGTATTACAACCCTGAACTATTGTGCCCATTCATGTTCTTTGTAGGAATTATGCATTTTTATAAACAGTATACAAGTATCTGTTTTCCCAAAGCCTTACTAACAATGTATTGTCAAGCTTTTGAGATAGGAGGGCTTTGCCTTGTCTTATTGTATCTTGTTTCATTCTTTTTGGCTGTCATCTCTTGGAGACCTGCTCTTTTCTGAAAAGGAGAGGAGGGATAGTGCGTCTGGGAGAGAGGGGATATGGAGAGGAGCTGGGAGGAGTGAAGGAGGAGGAAACTGTATTCGGAATGTATGTATAGAGAAGAATCTGTTTTCAATAAAAATAAAAAAACAAACCAAACAACAACAAACAAACAAAAAAGACAGTTGAATGTTGCCAGAGGAAGGACACTAGAAATCTTTGTGGGGGAGAATAAAGCCTGAATTTTGATATCACACTGATGTAGATATGGGCAACATTAATTGAACTCAATGGGTTATAGTAGAAAAGGACATGAAATTGGGAGAGTGATATGTTGGAGGGTCTCGGGGTAAGTTGGGGCAAGAGAATTGTAGGTTAGATATCATTTAGATATATTGTGTATATATATAAAAATTTCAACCAGGTGTGGTGCCACATGCCTTAATCCTACCACTGGGGAGGCAGAGGCAGGCGGATCTCTGAGTTCCAGAATTCCCAGCCAGCTTGGTCTATAGATAGCCAAGGTTACACAGAGAAAACCTGTCTAGAAAAACAAAAAAAAAAATCAAAGAAATAGATTATTAAAAATTTTGAGCACCCCCAAGATACTTGTGTTGTTTATTTTTAAATTTGTCATTTTGGTGTTAATACTGATTTACTGCTTTAGAAATGGTTAGTCAACATGGCTTATTGAAAACTCAAGTATGTGAGTTGCCAACTTATAAAGTAAATTTTTGTAAGTAATTGTGTTGTTTTCTAGACTTCTTTTTTATGAAACAGAGTTGAAATTTATTAAATGATATTTTTCTTAATAGAATTGAATGGGTTAATATTAAGAGTGGTACTTGGAAAGAGTGAGACATAAGTGTGTTTATTGTTTTTTTATATGAATGTCACATTTCTTTAGACTTTTTTTTACGTCATGTAGTCTGTGTATATTGCTACTGCACTGTTTTAATTGGTTATTCTAGTTTCTTTTTAGTTTTATATTTTTTGGAATGAATTGGAAAATGATATTAAAATGGACAGTATTAGAAAAGTTCTCAGGTGATTTAGTCATGCCCACAAAGAAAGACAGATGACAAAAGTCCTCTTTGAATGAGCAAGTACACTTGTGCCACTCAGTTTTGATACAGCATAGAGCATGTGTCCAGTTGCTGTTAGTTCCAGATTATCTTTATTGCCTTTTTTTTTTTGTGGGAAGGAAGACAGCAAATTAACCCCTTTGCAAAAGCTTTGCATTTCTACCAACTGATGTGAGGTGTCCTTCTGTATGTGTTGCTTATTGGCCAGTGACTTAGCAGAGCAAAGCCAGTTGGGAAGTCCAAACAGAGATATATATAGAGAGTAGGCAGAGTCAGACAACATGTAGCTGCCTAAGGAGAAGGACACGCTGGCTGGAACCTTACTGGTAGGCCACAGCCTTGTGTGATACACAGATTAATAGACATGGGTTAATTTAAGAATTAAGAGCTACCTAGAAATATGCTTAAGCTATTGCCCAAACAGTATTGCAGTTAATATAGTTTCTCTGTGATTATTTGGGTCTGAGTGTTCGGGAAACGAAAGAGCAGTCTTCTTCAACAACTAGTCACCTACCCCTCCCCCTGATATTTAACTCATTGTATTCCGTTGCTTCTCATAATTTAGTCTTCATTTTTCTCCAGTTTATCTCATTTAAAAGACTTTCCTGTGTACCTTCTGCAGAATTTCCCAATTTTGTATTTTGAATTCTTAGTTTATTTTCTTCTTAAGTTCTCATATACAGACAATGAGTGACTACAACTAGGCTTTAGTTTTCCATCTAGCTCGTGTTTCTTTTTTTTAATTTTTTTTATAATTTATTTATTTATTAAAGATTTCTGCCTCCTCCCCGCCACCACCTCCCATTTCCCTCCCCCTCCCCCGATCAAGTTCCCCTCCCTCATCAGCTCGAAGAGCAATCAGGGTTCCCTGACCTGTGGGAAGTCCAAGGACCACCCACCTCCCTCCAGGTCTAGTAAGGTGAACCTCCAAACTGCCTAGGCTCCCCCAAAGCCAGTATGTGCAGTAGGATCAAAAACCCATTGCCATTGTTCTTGAGTTCTCAGTAGTCCTCATTGTCCGCTATGTTCAGCAAGTCCGGTTTTATCCCGTGCTTTTTCAGACCCAGGCCAGCTGGCCTTGGTGAGTTCCCAATAGAACATCCCCATTGTCTCAGTGTGTGGGTGCACCCCTCGCGGTCCTGAGTTCCTTGCTCGTGCTCTCTCTCCTGCTCCTGATTTGAACCTTGAGATTTCTTTCCTGTGCTCCAATGTGGGTCTCTGTCTCTGTCTCCTTTGATCGCCTGATGAAGGTTAATATTCAGGAGGATGCCTATATGTTTTTCTTTGGGTTCTCCTTCTTATTTAGCTTCTCTAGGATTGCGAATTATAGGCTCAATGTCCTTTATTTATGGCTAGAAACCAAATATGAGTGAGTAAATCCCATGTTCCTCTTTTTGGGTCTGGCTTACCTCACTCAGGATAGTGTTTTCTATTTCCATCCATTTGCATGCACAATTCAAGATGTCATTGTTTTTTACTGCTGAGTAGTACTCTAATATGTATATATTCCATACTTTCTTCATCCATTCTTCCATTGAAGGGCATCTAGGTTGTTTCCAGGTTCTGGCTATTACAAACAGTGCTGCTATGAACATAGTTGAGCATATACTTTTGTTGTATGATAGGGCATCTCTTGGGTATATTCCCAAGAGTGGTATTGCTGGGTCCAGGGGTAGGTTGATCCTGAATTTCGTGAGAAACCGCCACACTGCTTTCCAGAGTGGTTGCACAAGTTTGCATTCTCACCAGCAATGGATGAGGGTACCCCTTTCTCCACAACCTCTCCAGCAAAGGCTATCATTGGTGTTTTTGATTTTAGGCATTCTGACAGGTGTAAGATGGTATCTCAAAGTTGTTTTGATTTGCATTTCCCTGATCGCTAAGGAAGTTGAGCATGACCTTAAGTGTCTTTTGGCCATTTGAACTTCTTCTGTTGAGAATTCTCTGTTCAGCTCAGTGCCCCATTTTATAATTGGGTTGATTTTTACCGTCTAGTTTCTTGAGTTCTTTATATATTTTGGAGATCAGACCTTTGTCAGTTGCAGGGTTGGTGAAGATCTTCTCCCAGTCAGTGGGTTGCCTTTTTGTCTTAGTGACAGTGTCCTTTGCTTTACATAGCTTGTGTTTCTGAATACATTTTATTTCAATAGGAAGTGATGGCAGAGCACACAGAAAGGACAGGAAGGATGTAAAGAAACCTTCAGTGACAAAACCAAACAATATCAAGGCAATGTTCATTGCTAGTGCTGGGAAGAAAACTGCAGATGTGAGTTTCAGGTTTCCTTATATTGTTTTTTCCCCTTGTATGAAATGAAATGAAATTAATTTTTCATTGCCCAAATTGTATGTGCTCAATACATGTTTGAGTAACGTTCTATGAATTTCACTTAGTAAGACGAATTTAGGTTTTATGTGAATATAGGTACTTCAGTGGTTTCAACTTAGGAGACAAAAGAAAATTAAATAGAAATGCTGAAATGACAATTTCTTTAATTTTATTGTCAAGCAAGAGTTACAGAGTGAAGATGGAAATAGAGGCTGGGAGTATAAATGTAATTAGATATGCACAGGTGATTGTTGAAATCTGAATAGCAGATGAGAGTGAGCAGTGAAGTACTGATGGGATCAGATTCTTCCTCTCAGAAATGTATGTGTGGTCTGCATGAAAAAGTTCAATCCAGAATCTCATTTGCACTTTAAAAAAATTTTTATATACTATACAGAAAGCAGTAGACTTGTCCAAGGATGATCTGCTAGGTGACATTCTACAGGATCTGAACAGTGAGGTAAGTGAATTTCCTGGAGTTATAAGATACAGGGGCATAGACTGAAGAAACAGTTCAGTAATTATACAAAACAAACTATCACTAGAAAGAAATGTGCCAGGATACCACCAAACATGCACATACAAAATCCCCCCATACAAAAAAGAAAACAAAAGCCCCCAAATTAGTTTTTTCTCACTGTTTTAGGTTTCTTCTCACCATTTTAGGTGACGAGTTTCCAACTGTTACTGCTCTAGGATTCTGTAGATGGGCTGTGTGGGTGTGTGTTGGAAGTAGTAAGAATCCACCCAATAGTTGGTTCTGTGAATTTTCATTGCTTGTATTTTGTTGCTATAGTGTATGTTCCATGAATAGATTGAAGCCTGTCAATCAGCACACTTAGGCATGAGAGCCCCTTTCTGAATTCTGAGTGGGAGGGAAGGAAGAGCAAGTGAGATGCCTTTGGTAGAACTCAAACAGGCTCTTTTACACTGTGAATTTTGTGATTTAGCCATATCTCATAAAGACTAAGCTTTTATTTAGAGGTGTACTTCTTTCTAAGTGACTACTGATTGACTAATACCAACACTATTTAGTTCTATTTTGTTTGATGTTAAATATAATACCTGAAAGAGTAAGTGAAGAGAGTATGTTAAATTTTTGAAAGAAAAGTAGTTAGGGATTGATTAAATATCTATTCTGGTTTTCTAGTGATTTCTGTAGTATTGTTGCTATAGTAACTGCAGTACATGAGCATGGATCCTGTTTGGGGGGCAGGGAAGGAAAAACACTTTACTTATTAGGCATAAGCAAAGATGTACTTTTTCTGTTATGTGGTAAATCAGGCATGACAATGAAATGTCTGTCTTCTCTTTCCTTTTAGATATCTCAAACATCTCCACCACCTGTATTGATACCAAAGAAAAAAAGATCCACTGGAGCTTTACTCAATCCTTTCTCAGTGCATACCCCTAAGGTAAACTCTGGAGGAATATTGTTCTGCTTTAAATTTGTTTTATTTGCCTATATAAAGGAGATGATGATTTTGAATTTGTTTTGTTTCTTTTAAATTAGAACTTCCATTCAGTATATAGTTTCATGTATTTCAAAAATAGCATGTGCCTGCATTTTTGTAGTAAATTTTGTAGTAACTAGTACATGTTTATTATAGGTATTACAACTGTGTTAAATGCAATAATTTTCTTCCTGGAAACAAGTATTTTTTTGTGTGCAAATCCAGGTAACAGTAAAATAATTGAAGCCATTACATTAATAATACACAAATCTTTTTATAAATGGGAACTGTCATTATCTTTGGTCAGGGTAGGACAGTTGCATATTTTTAGTATGCAGTTCTAACTGACTAAACACTTAAAAACATTTACAGGCAATTCCTTCAGGAAAACCTGCTTCCCCTGTCCTTAAGAAGGAACCTCTGTTAACTCCCATTCCTCTTAAATGTGCTGAATTTGCTGGTAAGTCTCATGTCAGGCAAAAGTACAAGTTGTTGAACAGTAACTGCAACACATAGAGGCTTGGTGATACAGGGGTGGAGGTAATTTTGAAGGTGGCACATCTAATCATGAAAGGTTGAATTTATAGTAGTAAAAATTAAAAGCATCCAACCTGAAGATTAAAGAGAAATATAACATAGGGAAAGGCTGTTATTTCAATGTAGAGTAAGCTTTGTGGCCCATGACACTAGCATGTGATGGGAACATATGGTGATGTTTACAGGAGAGCTGGCCCAAACAGAGTGTCCAGAAGATGAGCAGGAATCAGGAATAATGGAGTTTGAAGATGGTGACTTTGATGAGCCCATGGAAGCTATGGAGGTAGATGGGGAGCCTGTGACTGCCAAGACTTGTGACCAAGAGAATGAGCCAGTAGAGAGGGTGAAACATGAGGCAGATCCTACAAAAGGAACCACATCTTTCTTGTAAGTAAATTTTATAATACTTCAGAAAAATAGTACTCTAATTATTCTGTTGGATTATAAAGTTTTTGAAAATGTGATTTCTGCAGAAAAAGTTTTCTCCCAGATGTGTCTTGTTGGGAAATGGATCAGGACGATGAAAGCAGTTTCTTAGCTCAGGAAGTTCAAGTGGATTCCAGTCACCTCCCATTAGTAAAAGGGGCAGATGATGAACAAGTATTTCAATTTTATTGGCTGGATGCTTATGAAGATCCATACAATCAACCAGGTAATTATACTTAGACTTTTAGTACACACTGTAATACCATTTCCTTTAAATAGTTTCGTGATTCTTATTGGCTTTGTTCTAATGGAATCAGATTGTAATTTGTCTCTTTAAATTAACTGATTTTTTTTTTTTTATCTCGCTTTGGCTGTCCTAGAACTCCATATGTAGACCAGGCTGGTCTTGAATTCACGAGATCCACCTGGCTCTGCCTCCCCAGTGCTGGGATTAAAGACATGCGCTACCACACTTGGCCTAATTTGTCTTTTTATTCAACAGAGAATAAATACACACTGAGGTGGAGAGCAGGAATTCAAGGCAGGACCTGGAGGCAGGAACTGATGTAGAGGCCATGAAAGAGTACTGCTTTCTGGCTTTTTGGTCCTTGTGGCTTGTTCAGCCTGCTTTCTTTAGTACCCAGGACCACCAGCTCAGGGGTGCCACTGTCTCCAGTGAACTGGAAGCCCTACACATAAATTATTAATCAACTAAGTGTACCACAGGCTTGACCACAGGCCAATATTGTGGGGGCATTTTCTCAATTGAGGTTCCCTTTTTTCAAATGACTCTACCTTGTGTCAACTTGATAAACAAAACAAAACAAAACTAGCTAGTACAGCTAGATACTGAAGGCCTTAAAAGCCTTCTCAAGGAATTTCAATCTTACTCGAAGAATGTGTCAGTCAGAAGGTTTAATTGTAGTGTGTTATGATCTCATAATTGGCTTTACATTTTAACAGGAATGCACTGACATGTGTGGAGAAGTGTGTGTGTGTGTGTGTGTGTGTGTGTGTGTGTGTGTAAGCACTCAAGGAGCCTGGAGTGGGGTAGTAGGGAATTGTGGAAGCCCTGAAGACCAGTCAGTTTAGGGTAGAAGTGTTAGATAATTGGAACCTGATTACTGTGAAGAAATAGAAAAGTAGCCAGGCGGTGGTGGCGCACGCCTTTAATCCCAGCACTCGGGAGGCAGAGGCAGGCGGATGTCTGTGAGTTCGAGTCCAGCCTGGTCTAGAAGAGCTAGTTCCAGGACAGGCTCCAAAGCTACTGAGAAACCCTGTCTCAAAAAACCAAAAAAAAGAAAGAAAGAAAGAAATAGAAAAGTAAAGAGATTTTAACTATATTTTGATGTAAACATTTTGTAGATTGTATGGGGCCAGGAAATAGGAGTCAAGACTGACCCTGGTTATTCTTCTTTTTTTCTTTGTTTGCTTTCTGAGATAGGGTTCTTCTTTGTAGCCCTGACTGTCCTGGAACTAGGACTGTAGACCATGCTGGCCTCAAACTCACATGATCTGCCTCTCAAGTGTTAGGAGTAAAGGTGTGTGTCACCACCAGGTTTCACACTGGGTTTCTCCCTGGTCATTCTAATGAGCTAATTCTGTGAATTCTTGACTCACAAAATGCTAGTAGTGGGTTGACTAAAATGGCTGTCCAATAATAGAACAAAGAGAATATTCTTTATGAATTTGTAGGGCTGAGCATCCATTGAGGATATTGTTATTCCCTCTTGTAGGGGAAAAATCACCTAAACTCAGAACACCATTGTGATGTCAAAGGTATATTACTCCATTTTGAACACAAATACCTGTCTGAGAAAGTCCTTAGTAGTAGGAGCCACTTGTTTGTTCCTGGCTGCCCAGACTCGAAATAACCACTCAGAAACTATGTTATTTAAATCACTGCTTGGCAAATCGCTTAAGCATATTGCTAGCTAGTTCTTATATTTTTGCTTAACTCATTTCTATTAATCTGTGTATCACCATGTGACTGTGGCTTACTGGGTAAAGTTTTGTCTAGATCTGGCATCTGTCTCCAGTGGGGTTACATGTCTTCTCCCTGGCTCTGCCTTCTTTCCCCAGTATTTAGTTTAATTTTCCCCACCTAGCTCTACTCTGCCCTGTCAATATTCATTAACCAATAAAAACAACACATATACAGAAGGACCTCCCACACCACTCCTTGAACTGAACAGATGTCTTTTCTATGGCTGTTTCTGGGTCTGTGTCTCTGCTACCAGATTGAACTTGTTTTATGTTCTTCAGGTTAAGTTTTTAAGAAATTAAAAAGTACTCCCAAGTGAAGTAGTGGAAATGTATGTGTGTATGTGTGTGTGCGTTTTTGTCTTTAGCCTCTTTGCTCATCAACAGAAGGGAAAACTACGTTTCACTTACCGTGATTCATTAAATGAATTCTGGGATTCAGAAGGACTTAGCTGTGGGTATTACAACTGCATTTGAGTAGCTAGCTGCCTTTGTTAGCCTTGGGGTTCATGTCTTCTGTATTGTTTTCTGTTAAGACCTATGGAAAAATTTAGTTTTGTAGAATTAAAGTGTTATAAGCAGCATAAGGACCCTTTCCTCAAAGTTAGTCTTTTTACAATAGGAGCTGGAAGTGGTTTAGCAGGTAAAGGCTAATTAGCTTGGTGACCTGAGTTCTGCCCTCAGAACCTACATGGTGAAGGAGAGAGTTGATTCTTGCAGGTTATCCTCTGACTTTGACACTCCCCCTCCCAATATATAAGTGCTAAAACCTCAGGTATTTGTATACTGACATCTGCATTCTTATGTATGTTTATAACTTGTGAGGCAGACTTTATAGATTTGATTAAATTAAGAGATGAGGAGAATTTCCTGTGGGCCCAGTATAGTGTAGGAATCTTTGTTAAAGGATCAGAGTCAATATAGTCAGAATCACCATGGTCTGTTTGATTAGTATAAAATACCATATACACCTGAAGTAGAATTGTCTGCATTTAGATATCTTGGGATCTGTGGTGGATATAAGTGGTATTTTTCAGAATGATTTCCTGGAGACTGCATTTACTGAAACTTGAGGGAATAACTGTATATTAGTAAAGCAAGTATGTAAGAAGGATGACTAACTGTTTGACTTGGAGACCTGATTTAAATAAAGCTAACTGGATATTACCTAGAAAAATGTTAATGGTTTCTAGAGGAATTGTCAGATCATTAATATACTTCCTCTTAGCAAATATTTATATGTTCTCTCATAACCACTTAGGTAGCATGTGGCCTTATCTTAGTTTCTTAGGCAGTTATAGTCAAGCTCAGAAATGGTATCTTAACCAACTCCACTTTAGCTAGGGCATGATGATGTTGTTATGGATTCTTGCTTTTTTAAAATTTTTATTTATTCAATGTATCTTTCACATCATGCATCTTTTTTTTTTTATTTTTTTTTTTAAATAATTTTTTTTATTAAGAAAAGAAGAAAAAAAACATAAACAAAAAACAAGTTTCCACCTCCTCCCAGCCTCCCATTTCCCTCCCCCTCCTCCCACCCTTCTCCCCCTCCTCCCACCCTTCTACCCCTCCCCCCACTCCTCTCCCCCTCCCTCTCCAGTCCACAGAGCAGTCCAGGTTCCCTGCCCTGTGGTAAGTCCTAGGTCCTCCCCCCTCCGTCCATATCTAGGAAGGTGAACATCCAAACTGGCTAGGCTTCCACAAAGCCAGCACATTAAGTAGGATCAAAACCCCGTGCCATTGTCCTTGGCGTCTCATCAGCCCTCATTGTTCGCCATGTTCAGAGAGTCCGGTTTTATCCCATGCTTTTTCGGTCACAGTCCAGCTGGCCTTGGTGAGCTCCCAGTAGATCAGCTCCACTGTCTCAGTGGGTGGGTGCACGCCTCGTGGTCCCGACTTCTTTGCTCATGTTCTCCCTCCTTCTGCTCCTCATTGGGACCTTGGGAGCTCAGTCCAGTGCTCCAGTGTGGGTCTCTGTCTCTGTCTCCATCCATCACCAGATGAAGGTTCTATGATGATATGCAAGATATTCGTCAGTATTGCTCTCGGATAGGGTCATTTCAGGTTCCCAATCCTCAGCTACCCAAGGAACTAACTGGGAACCTCATGTTGGGCACTTGGGAGCCCCTCTAGGGTCAAATCTCTTGCTCACCCTAAAGTGGTTCCCTTAACTAAGAATTGTGGTTCCGTGCTCCCCTATCCACCTTTCCTTTATCCCAATTCTCCTGATTCCCCAAATCCCCCCTCCTTCCCTTCTACCTTTTCTCTCCCCATCTCCCCTTACCCCCATCCCACCCCACCCCCAAGATCCTAATTTTCTCCCCGGCAATTGGGTCTACTTCCCTTAGCCAAGAGGATAACTATATGTTTTTCCTTGGGTTCACCTTCTTACTTAGCTTCTTTAGGTTCACCTATTGTAGACTCCGTGGCCCTAATTTATGGCTAGAAACCAATTATGAGCGAGTACATCCCATGTTCATCTTTTTGGGTCTGGGACACCTCACTCAGGATAGTGTTTTCTATTTCCATCCATTTGCCTGCAAAATTCGAGAAGTCATTGTTTTTTACCGCAGCGTAGTACTCTAGCGTGTATATATTCCATACTTTCTTCATCCATTCTTCCATTGAAGGGCATCTAGGTTGTTTCCAGGTTCTGGCTATTACAAATAATACTGCTATGAACATAGTTGAACAAATGCTTTTGTCATATGATAGAGCATCTCTTGGGTATATTCCCAGGAGTGGTATTGCTGGGTCCAGGGGTAAGTTGATCCCGAATTTCCTGAGAAACCGAAACACTGACTTCCACAGTGGTTGCACAAGATGGCATTCCCACCAGCAATGGATGAGGGTACCCGTTCCTCCACAGCCTCTCCAGCAAAGGTTATCCTTGGTGTTTTTGACTTTAGCCATTCTGACAGGTGTAAGATGATATCTCAAAGTTGTTTTGATTTGCATTTCCCTGATTGCTAAGGAAGTTGAGCACGACTTTAAGTGTCTTTTGGCCATTTGAACTTCCTCTGCTGAGAATTCTCTGTTCAGTTCAGTGCCCCATTTTTTAATTGGGTTAATTAGCATTTTAAAGTCTAGTTTCTTGAGTTCCTTATATATTTTGGAGATCAGACCTTTGTCTGTTGTGGGGTTGGTGAAGATCTTCTCCCAATCAGTAGGTTGCCTTTGTGTCTTATTGACTATGTCCTTTGCTTTACAGAAGCTTCTCAGTTTAAGTAGGTCCCATTT